GCTGAACCAACTGAACAACTTCTTTGCTTGCTTTGAGGCAGACAACAACACCCTGGCACAGAAGTCTCCAACCCCGCCGGGCGACCAAGTCCTGATGCTATCTACCGACAGCTTGAGAAGTCTCAGAAGAACAAACTCACAGAAAGCACCAGGTCCTGACAACATTCCTGGCCGTCTCCCGTGAGACTGTGCCAAGGAGCTCACCTTTACAGGAGAAGTACATGTGTGTACTTATGTCCTTACAGACATCTTTAACACCTCACTGAGCAAGGCTGTTGTTCCCAAGTGCCTCAAAGCCACCACCATCATCATAGTCCCAAAGTCGCACTTACCCCCATCCTAATGAAGTGCTTTGAGCGGCTGGTCATGCAGCACATCTAGGCTGCCCTCCTGCCAGCCTTGGATCCCTTTCAGTTTGCTTACCGGTCCAATCGTTCAACTGACGATGCCATCTCTACTGCCCTTCACTCAGCCCTCACCCACCTAGAGACAAAAGACTCCTATGTCAGAATGCTGTTCATAGACTTCAGCTTGGCATTCAATACAATTCAACCCCCAGCAGCTCGTCCACAAACTGGACTAGCTCGGGATCCACATCTCTTTGCAACTGGCTGCTGGACTTCCTGACAAAAAGACCACAGGTAATTCAGGTAGGCAGAAACACCTCAAGCACGACTGCATACCAACATCTCAGCTCCAACCTCTTCATTAAATTTGCAGACGACACGACTGTGGTAGGTCTCATCAACAACAGTGATGAGACAAGGTACAGGAATGAGGTTAGCCATCTGGCCTTGTGGTGCAAAAACAACCATTTCTGCCTGAACGTGGAGGAGACAAAGGAGATTGTTGTGAACTTCAGGAGGGAGCACACCTAGCACACCCCCCTCAACATCGACGGTGCCACCGTGGAGAGGGTGAGCAGCACCAAGTTCCTGGGAGTGCACGTCTCTGAAGACCTCTCCTGGACAATCAACACTGCATCACTGACCAAAAAAGCCCAACAGTGCCTATACTTCCTCCGCAAACTTAGAAGAGCAAGAGCACTGCCCCCCATCATGCAGACCTTCTATAGGGGCACCATCCTGACCAACTGCATCGCTGTGTGGTATGGTGCCTGCACTATGTCTTGCCGCAAGACCCTACAACGCATCGTGAGAGCAGCTGAGAGGATCATTGGTGCCTCTCTCCCCTCCCTTCAAGACATCTACAACACCCGCCTCACCCACAAGTCCATCAAAATTGCAGGTGAGCCCTCCCACCCAGCTCACAGCCTCGTCAGCCTATTGCCATCGGGTAGGACACCGCGGAGTATCCGAGCCAGAACCAGCAGGCTCAAAGACAGTTTTATCCACCAGGCCATGAGGAGACTCAACTCCCTACCTGCTCTGCCCCCCCTCCCACTCTGTCACACACAGACTCTACTGTTCCCCTCCTATCCTCCCTTATCTCACACACACAGTCTCTGCTCTTCCCTTCCCATCTCCTCTGTTCCCTGCATGCTCTCTCTGCATACTCTGCTGTGGATCATCATTGACATATTGCACTCCAAGTACTACCTCACCCTCGACCGAATAAGCTGAGTCATTACTGTCTTTATTGATTCACCACTCATCGTTCATTCTGTCTATAATTACTGAATAATGTCACAGCACATGTT